CAGCACTGCTTGGATTCAGCTGGGTGCCAGTGGCCGGTTGCCTTTCTCTATAATATACTCCCAATAAGTAACTTTCGCCTGGCAGAGTTGGGCCTTTTTAGGTGAGACCCAGTACTCTAAAGTCTGTAGGGTCCTTAGTAATGACTAGGTGGTCTCTTTACAGTCCTCCTGGGTTTCTGTGGCCAAGAGTAAGTCATCAACATATTGGAGCAGGGTGCATTCTGGAAACTCAGCTCGGAATCAGCAAGGTCTTGGCTCAGCGTCTCATCAAAGTGGGGGAATTCTTAAAACCTTGCAGCAGCCTCTCTGCTGGATTTCTGGTCCCCGTGAGTTAACTCGGGTTTCCTGGAGTGCTGTTATCCCTGCCTTAGTAACTCCCTTATCTTGCTTGGCCTTTAGGTGTCCCTATTGTTAAAACCTTTTTGGGCAATCTCTAACAACTGAGCTAAATTTATTCCTTGGAACCCCTCTAATTTTTGCAATTTTCTTTTGATGTCTGAGGCAGACTGGGAAACAAAAGCCAGGTAGATGGCCCGCTGATTCTTAAAGTCCCTACCATGGAGTGGTTAGTGGGCTTGCGGGCCGCTCCTTTAACCCCCTCTAACAATTTCTGGTGAAAAGTGTTCAGAGCCTGGTGACCCCTCAAGGTGTTGGGTCCCCATGTGGGGTCGGGTAGATGAAAAATACCATTTTAATTTGGTCCTGGCATCTTCTGATCTTCCCCCCGTCCTAAGTATTGCTTTATGGGCTTCTTGTCTCATTCTACTCCTGTCCCCTGTGGTGAACAAACTCAGCAATAATTGTTGGCAGTTATTCTAAGTGGGGCGATAAGTCTGCAGTACAGATTTTAAGAGCCCTGTCAAAGCCTGGGGCTTCTCAGAGAACGGGGGATGTTGAGCTTTCTGACAGAACTTACTCCATTGTAAAACCTTAGCTTCCCATCTCAAGATTCCTTAGCTTTCCAGCACGACTCCCTCCAGGAGAACTTTTCATCTCAGCAGGTTTTTAAGCCTCCCCCTCTTGCCATATTAGTAGTTCCCCAGCCCTCCCAGGAACTATCAAACTTAGCACTTCCCCAGCCCCTCCTCTCCTGCATAGCCCCTCACACTGGAGGCATCTGCTGGCTTGCAGGCCATAAAAATCCCCTTTGCCACGCCACAGGTGCTCCGTGTCAATTTTGGGTGCAGCCCAGCAGATTTTTCCTTGCTCTTAATAAAGCTTGTGCCAGCACTTGGTGTTTTGGCCCTCTCCTTAATTTCTATCACCTTCTAGTTATATAAGTCACTTGACAAGAAGTGAACAAAAAATGGGCGACCCCAATTGTTTTCTCCTACTGGGGGAGCCTCTTGGAGAGGAAGGACTGCCGGTGGGTGTGGCGTCCTGCTTTGAGTGTGGAGAGGAGATAAGGGGTGATGATTAGTACTGGGCCGAGAATACCGTGGAGGCAACTCTTCGTCCTTGGCAGGGCCTGGAAGAACAGCTGGCACTGAGGGGCCCTTCTTTGGACCTGCTAGCATAACCTGAAGTCCAGCGCACTTTATACATTTTTCAAGCCAAGGAGGGGGGTGCTGGTTCAGCCTCAGCCATTGATCGATGTATGGAAATTGATCAGGGTGGCCTGGGGACCCTGACACGATGTTCCAGACAGCCTGAGTTATCTTGGGGTCGTATGTCCCCGTATCTGGCCAGCCTACCCCAAAGGCTGGCCACTCCAACTCACAGAGGATCTAAAGCCGCTGTGGGGTTAGTTTAACACCATACTGGTCAGAGAACCCTATTTTAAAGTTTTCGATCATACATCGGAGCAGGGTGCCTGGTCGGGACTGTGACGAGCCCATTTGGTCATTTTCTTCAATCTTTGAATTTTCTCCCAAAAGACTAGCTTGACTGAGGATTTGAACCACCAACCTCGCAGTTGCAGGCGCCCCCCCACCTTAATTGCTGTGCTAACAAGTAACTTGCACTACAAAGAGTTAGAAAGCTGTTCTTAAAGCAGATTTTAGATGCAAATTCTGCACCCTGAGGCAGTGTGGTCTGCCTGAAAGCCGGGTGGGGCTGGCGGCCAGCAGAGAGGTAAAAAAAAACAAAAACGCTTTTTGTGTCAGTTTAAAACTGGGCTCCAAGCCGCTGGGCCAGCTATGAGTTCCCCGCCCCTGCAGCCTTTTGTCACCTTTACACAGGGACCCTGAAAAGCACTAAATTCCTGTCTCCCCTTTTTTTTTCTCCACTCTCTTCTTTGTCTCCTCTCTCTCTCCCTATTTCCTCTCTTGCCTTTTTGTCCTTTCTCTTGGGACTTTTGCTTACTACTTGTGTCTTTCTCTTTCTGTGGTGGTATAGCCAATTTTGGAAAGCCTCCAATTCAAATTTTTTTTTTTTTGCCCTCTCTAAAGCAGGTTTTAGTAGGGCCTCCCTGTGATACACCACCAGGCACTGCCCATAACAATACTGGACACTTTTCTGACAGAATAGGCAGTCACCAGTTTTCCATTTTAGCCTGACAAAGAGCACTCGTAGACCCTGATCTAGGTATTTGTCTCCTACAACCCTAAAAAACCTACTTTTGAGGTACCGAGGGCACAACTGCCTTCCTGACATGGACTCAGACCCAGCACGGGCAAAAATACTCTTTTCCCAGTGGAGGTGGCTGGGAGAATTTACAGGCCACAATAATTACAACAAGGAAGAAAATAAAAACAACTAAAGTTAAGACCATTTGCCACATGGCAGAGGAAGAAAGAATGAGGCCTCAGTGATAGAAAAAGAAGATGAGAAAGAAGGAGAAGAGTAATCTCTGCAGGGGTATAATCAATAAAAGTTCCCTGCATCTAGTAGTTCATCAACCACTGTAAAATATCCCCAACCTCAAGGGAAGATGGTCTGAACCAGTGTATATCTGCTAGCAGGAGTCTAATAAAACTGACAAATTTACAGACGAGACAGAACCACATACAAGAGTAACGAACAAAGTGTGGGAGCCTCCCAGAGGAGGGCCAAGCAGTTGCCTGCCCGGCCACGCCCCCGGAGGGGTCTTTCAGGTGCGTCTTGGCTAAGGTGTACCTGTATAACCCCCGGGCCTGGTCACCTCAGGATGGAAGTCTGAGTAGGACAGCTCTGAGGTGAATCACTGTTATGCCTTATGATGCTCCCGTGAAACCGCAGGTGAAGGCCCACTCAAGCCCCGTAGCTTTCAGCCGTGGGACTACATACATACACACACTCTCTCTCACTCACACAGAGGCTATGGAAAACAATCGAATGCTGACACCCACTATGCCAGCTACCAGAAGCTGATACCCATTATACCAGCTACCAGAAGGCTGGCACCCACTATGCCAGCCACCAGAAGCCTCAAGCGACATCTTGGTGAGGCTTGCCAGGTCAGAGTTGCAATGACTCGTCAGTCCCCTGCAACAGGGCCTTTTCCCTTGAACTAGTTCCAAGATTCCAAACCAAACCTACCTCCGGAGGCTTTTAGGACCCTGAAGAATTTTTGGGTGAACGTCGGCCGGGTGAGTGCTCTTCCGCAGTGGCACTCTGGGTCCCTGAGACAGCTCAGGGGGCGCCTCCCCTAGAGGCTTCCAAGGTGGGAGTGGCCATCCGGGCGAGACTCTGAAATGGCTTTTGTCTGGTGATGAAAAATAAAATATCTCGGTGGAACCTCCAAATGTTGCATCGGACCGAGCAGAGAGAGTCAACACCAAGACAAAAGTATGCCAAATTGCAGAGTTTATTGCCGGCAACCACAGAGGACTCATGTCTCTCCAACCCGTGGCAGAGAAAGAAGGGTGACAAGACCTTTTTATACCCACAAAACCACTTTGGGACTGGGGGTAAGGAGCAGAGATGGGATGAGTGTCTTCAGACATTTTGGGGGGCTGTAAATCACCTCCTGGGAAGAGAGGAGGGTGATGGGCTCTGGACATTCCAAAGGCTAGGGGATTGCTTGACACTTAAGAGATTTACAGAAGTTAAGATAACCATTTGCTTACACATCGTCTGGGGAGGGGTTTCTTGGCGCCAGAATGGAGTTATCCAGGGGTGCTTACTCTGGTCAGTACCAGTAAACAAAGGCCAGCAATTCTGGCAGTTACAGATAAGAGAAAGTATGCAGCTTTATCTTTTGGCATTTTAGCAGTTTTACAGAGGCTGAGGTTAGCATTCATCATGAGGAAAATGGAAACAGTAAAATGGCATTGTACAGGTTCTAACTCTAGGCCAGCTATATCACAACTGGAGGTCAGATCTGGGGACTGGCTCTTCAAGGTCTGTCTCATGCAGCCATGCCCTGGGCTCAGGCTCTTGTAGACCTCAGGCTGTGGGTCGGGGCTAAAGGCAGTAACAGCAACAAGGAGAACTGCAATTTCCTCTGAGCCCCAGGTTCTATGCTGAGCCTTGTACATCTATGATACCTGTTATCCCATTTGGTTCTCCTGGCACCTGTGAGAGAGGGGAGGTGATGCAACAGGTGAGAAGTTGAGGGCTTGAGGCAGGTGTGACCCCTACACACCCACAGCCACAAAGCTGACAAGGGCAGACCTGGGGCTCAGACTTGCAAGCTGATGCCTGTGTATCCAGGACCACTGCCTCTCTTGCCAAGGGCATGGATGGGGCACCACTGGCAACCAGTTGGGGATACGGGGTCTGCTTCCAGGACAGAGACCACTCAGTCTCCAGCAAAGGCAAATGTGCATGCATGCGCCATAGCAGGGTGTCCACCCCAGAGCTAGGGCTCTGTAGAAGAAATGGCCCCAGGTTATGACGTGGAAGGAGATGTCCCAGATGGCCAAGACGTCTCCTTCCCCAGTTGAGTTAGGAGAAAACTCCTCTTCTCTAAGCTCTTGCGGTAGGCCTGATGCTGTGTGGGAGGCCCGCAGACATCCAGGGGCTTAATTACCTCTATGTGAAGCTGTGCTTCAGTGGTCACGTTTCATGTCCACTCTCATGATGCAATTCAGCACCTGGTTCCTTTTTTCGTAGAAGAGATAATCAGTATAAGTAATGTAAATCTTAATGTTTTTGTTCTTTCTTAATAAGTATGGAAAAGGTGCTGACGCATTATGCTCCTTAACTCAATTAGGCTACCAGAAATTCCTGAGCCCCTACCTGAATGACACGTGATGTACTTGACCGTATCACTGCTACGCCCTATCTACCCTGCCCCCAGTCGCCAACCTCCAAGGCTATGCCCTACCTACCGTGCCCCAGATTTCCAACTCAATAAAAGTGAGAGCATCCAGGCATTTGGGGCCACTGCTGACTCTGCCCTCTGGTTGGTAGTGGACCCCTGGGCCCAAACTCTCTTTTCTCTATCTCTGTGTCTTGTGTCTTTTGTTTCTACAATTTCTTGTCTCCACACCAGTTGGGAGCGGTTCACAGAACTCTGTAGGGCTGGACCCTATAATACACTCCAAGTCCTAGGTGGAACATCAGAACAATGAGTCATTACTTAAACTCCAACAAAGAGGGTGGGAAGACATTGGGAAACACCTACACATTAATAAAAAAACTCGGGCCAGGCACAGTAGCTCACGTCTGTAATCCCAGCACTTTGTGAGGCCAAGGTAGGAGGATCACTTGAGGCAAGGAGTTCAAGACCAGCCTGGGCAGCACAGGAAGACTCCATCTCTACAAGAAATAAACAATTTGCTGGGCATAGTAGCAGATGTGCCTGCAGTACTCAGGAGGCTGAGGCAGGACTGCTTGAGTCCAGCAGTTTGAGGCTGCAGGACAGAGCAAGGCCCTGTCTCAAACTAGGACAAACCCCTCCAACCCTGTGAAATGTGCAAAGAGGCTCCTGAAGCTCCCCGAGATGAGATGTGGGTGTCCAGTCTCCAGCCCAGCATGGCCACCAAGCGGCACAACACCCCCAGAATGCCCCCAGACCCTGGTGGACATAGGTGGGGTCAGTGAAGTTTTCCTGGGGCAGGAAGCAGCCTGGGTGACTGGACTGCGGCCTGATGCCAAATCTGAGGGGCGTTCCCAGACAGGTTGGGGTGGACAGGAGGGCAGGGTAGGGATAGCCAGCGTTCCCCTCTCTTGGGATGGGATCATGACCCTCCTTCCCTTCACTCTGATAAAGGCAGTAACACCAACAAGGAGCTGGGAAGGCAGGTGGGCCTGAGCCTGGCAGTGGCAGGAGTCAGCGCCTTAGAGACTTATTGAAGGCCAGCACAGCCTCCCCGGCTTTCCTACAGCTCCTGTCAAGATCCATGTCATGGCGACTCGAGATAATTGGCTGAAAAGACAAACAAGGGCATCAGCCAGGGGCAGGTTAGAGGATGGGCACAGCCTGTGATAAGGTAGGGCCTGGCTGGAGGTAGGACTCACCTGGGGAAGGGAGAGTCTGTCCAAGGCCCCCACCTCTCTCCATGGTCTGAGTGCCCCTCCCTCCCAAACTCTGCCCCCATGGGTCCTCCTGGGACACTCCAGGTCCCCAAGTGAAGCCCCATCTCCCTGGGTCCCATCCGGATGACACCCTGACTCCTCTCTGCTCCTCCCAGCTCTAGGGATGGATGGGACCCTGCTCCCTCTTGCCTGGACCCTGGGCAGTGAAACCCAGAGCACTAAGCAGGTGTGAAGCAGCAGGGAAGGTGGCCGGGATCAGAGCCTGCCTCAGAGAGCTGGGGTTCCCCGAGGAGACAGGCGTCCTTGCCCACCCAGTGGGGGTGCCCACTACCCAGCGCCCAGACACCCAGCTAAGCTGCACCCCAGGTCTCTCCTTAGCCAGGCTCCGACCCCAGGGACACTGAAACCGGACCTGGACTCCTGGAAGAGGATTTGGAGGCTCAGCCCCATGCACAGGTCTCCGTTGACACGGTGGGCCTCTATCGCCATCTGGTGGGTTCAGCGGTCCCTGCAGGAGGCTGCACCAAGTGAAGCTGGGCCTGCAGCTCCAAGGACCAGGACAGACCGGGCTGCAGACTCAGGGCAGGGGTGGATGGGCCACGACCAGCTGCAGCCACGGTAATGCCTGGACTAGGGCAAGGGTAGAGGAAGCGAGAGCCAGGCTCCCAACGCCGCCAAGACCTGGCAGGGACTGGCTCCCAACAGCCCTGGCTGGGCAGCCTCAGTGGGTGAGCCTTTCATTCTGACCCTGGTGTCCTCAGCAACTGGGAACCACAGTGACGTCGGCCTGCCGCTCCGCCAGAAGTTTCCAGGAGAGCCCTGCTGTGAGCCTGCCCCTGGTCTGAGTCTGTCCCTCAGGATTGGCAGGTCCTTCCCTGGGGCCCCCAGAGCCCTCTCCCGGCCCCATAGCCCTGCCCCACATCCCCCCTCTTGGGGATCAGCACTGCCAGCCTCTGGGTCCTCAAGGCATGTGTTGCATGGTTGGGAGAAGAGGGATGAAACGAGAACAGCCTTGACCAGGTCACGCCTTTGTCTGCCCCTCGGGGACCTGCTCCCAGCGCTGCCCAAGGTGGGCTGGCCCCCCCCAAGGTGTGCAAACCCCGGCTCAGCCATGCTCTGGGCATAGCCCTGTGACCAGGTTCTCCAGCCAGGCCTGACCCCCCGACAGTAGCATGACCCCAGCAAGCTCCGACCTGAGACCTCTGAGAGACCCCCGACGCTGACAAAACCTCACCCCACTAGGCCTCTGCCAATATGGCAGCCCAGCCAGCTCATTCCCAGCCTGGCCCTCACAGTTCCTGCAAGAGGTTAGGGCCCATGGGGAGTGACTTACACCTGGAAGCTGGGGTGCTCATCTACCCTGTGTGGCTGTTAACACCTGGGGTGCAGCCTCGCCAAAGCCAGGGTGCAGAGCGGCTACTGCACTGCTCCAAGGGTGAGCAGACCTGAGGCCACATAGATACCTACACCACAGGTGGATGTGAGGCCCCAGGTACACAACCAGTCCCCAGGTGACTCTCAGGCCCTGGGCGAACATGGGGTCCTAGATGAACAGCAGGACCCAAGTGGATAACCAGGCCCTTAGGGAACATCAGGCTCCAGGTGCACACCAGGACCCATGTTGTCAACCAGGTCCAGAGGTACATCAGGTTCCACATGGACACCCAACCCCCAGGTGGATATTGGGCCCCCAGGTGTACACACCAGTCCCGAACAACGGAAAGGTCACATATTCTCTGGCCAAATGCAATACACTCATGTCTCCAAAATACATGTATTTGGGAAACTGAAAAGCACACTTTGCAATCATTCTCAAGTCAAGGAACTCATAATAGAAGGCCAAATACATACAGAAGGAAACCACCATGAAACTCCCACACCCAACACAAGTGCAAGGCTGCTCCACTAGTCCCAGAGCAAGACCCACCACGGGCTTTGCATGGAGGACACATGGATCAGAAGGGAAGAATGGAAATGTGGACCTGAGGTTCTTATGTCGGAAAAGAGTAAAAGGCAACTGTGCATACCAAGAAATCCAAGAAAGAAAGGGTGACACGGAGAAATAACTAACCCAGGCCCGGTTTCCCAAGAAACTTAAAGACCACTGTGTAAAATGAATGGCAGGCCGAATCAAGCCCTCTCTAGGTTTCAACTATGGGTCTCTCCTAGACGGTTTAAAAGCCTACAAATTGCTGAGGCAGCCCTGAACGTGTCCTACCCGCCTTGCAGAAATTCACCACTGGACAAAGACACAGAAACCAATGCAGGTCTGAAGCTTACCTTGGAGAAGCCTCCTGCAGTCCCTGGGTGCCACTGGCTGGCTCTATGACTTTCTTGTCGGTCCAGTGACCTCAGCCTGGCCCCCTCCCTCAGCTCTGGTGTGTGGCCACCGATAACCTGAGTGGCCTGGGTTCCTGGCGCCCTTGAGGAGCTGCCCTGCATGCTCAAACAGGCTCCCGGCAGAGGGAAGGGTGGTGCTCTCCCTCTCGGGATCCAGTCCATTATCGCAGGCAGTGTAGCAGGGCATGGCTCTGGGGCCCCAAGTCCAGCACCCGCATGAGATCTTCACTCAATGAGCATAGAAGCAGGGGCGACTTACCCAGGTACCGCCTTCCTCACTGCTTGCGTGGGAGGACAAGTTCCTGGATGAACAGGGGCAAGGCCAGGGTAACTCCCCACCCATTTTCCCCAGGAAGAGGGTGAGTGCAAACTGACACACCCTTTTCAGGCCCTAGTGGGCACTGAGGTCCCAGGAAACATCAGTCCATAAGCAGACACTAAACATCACACACCAGGTAGACACCAGGCCCCAGGTGGACACCAGATCCCAGGGGGACTCCAGTCCCTGCATGGACATCAGGCCCCAGGTAGACATCAGGTCACAGTTTGGCACATAGGCCCCAAGTGGACACTGGGCCACAGGTAAATATCAGGCCCCAGGTACATACCAGGCCCCAGGGAGAAACCAGGTCCCAAATGGACATCAGGCATCTTGGTGTATGTCAGGTCCCAGGTGGACACATAGGTCCCAGTGGAACTCCAGCCCACACTTGAACTCCAAGCTCCAAGTGAATGTCTGGGCCCACAGTGAACAGGAAACCCCAGGTGGACAACAGGCCTCAACTACATGCCTAGACCCCTGGTGAACATTAGGCCCCAGGAGGATACCCTGGCCCCAGGGGAACATCTGGTTCCAGATGGACATTAGGCCTCAGGTAAATGCCCAGTCCCCATGTAGACATCAGGCCCCAAGTGGACATAAAGGCTCAGGTGGGCATGGATTCAAGGTGTACATGAACTATCAGGCTCACACACAGGCTGCCACTGGACCCAAAGTCAGAGAAGGACAGCCGTCCTGCTGAAGATACCAAAGACTCGGGTGGACATCCAGGCTCAATGGAAACATGAGGCCCTACGTAGGCAGCAGGCACAGGATGGGTATCAGTCTCCAGGTAAACACTCAGGCCCAAGCAGTACCATAGGCCCAAGGTGGATACCCAGTCCCCATCTGAATATCAATCCTCATGGGACGGCATGCACCACATAAATGCCTAGGCTCCTGGTGAGTATCAGGCCCCATGACGACACCCAGACCAGAGGTGGACATGTGGCCCCAGGTGGACATTTAGGACCCAGATGGATACCTACACTCCAGGTTGACATCAGAACCCAAAACACCAGGCTTCAAGGGACCATCAGGCTCCAGGTATCTATGGAGCCCACAGGTGGTTATCAAGCACCAGGCTGACACCCAAGGCACAGGTGGACACAAGGCCCAGAGAAACAACATGTCCAAGGAGGTCATAGGCCCCAGGCCCCAAGTGAATACCTAGGAGCACTGTCAACAAAAGCAACCAGGTACATACCCACACCCCAGATAGAAACCTGGCCCCAAGCACAAACCAGGCCTCAGCAGGATACCTAGGAACCCAGTGGACATCTGGACCCAGGTGGACACTAAAACCCAAGTGGATGTCAGGCCCCAAGTGGTCACTGAGGCCTCAGGTAAATAAATACCCAGGTCCCAGGTCAAAATCAGGCCCTTGATGGGCACCCAAGTCCCAGGTGAACATAGCACCTCAGTTGTGCACTTTATGACAAAGGGATTGCAGGCCCTGGGTGAACATCCAGTCCCAAGGACACCTGGGCCTCAGGCACCAGGAACACTAAGGCTCCAGCAGGATATCTGGTCCCAGGTTGACACCCAGGCCTCAGGTGGACACCAGGTGCTAGGAGAACTTCAGGCCCCAGCTGAAATCAAGCCCCAGGTGGACAGGCCCTAGGTAAATATCAGCTCCTAGGTTTTCATTGAGCCCCAGGTGGACATTAGTCCCCAGGTAGACAGTGGACTCTAAGCAGACTTCAGTCACCAAGCTCACAGACACACCTCAAGAGGATACAAGGCCTCAGGTGACTGTCACACTCTATCTAGACATCAGTCCCCTGATGGATAATCTAGAAGATAAGAAATAACAGGTGCTGATGAAGATGTGGAGAATTTGGAACATTTGCACCCTGTAGGTAGAAATATAAAACAGCGCAGTCACTGTGGAAAACAATATGGCAATTTCTCAAAAAACTCAGCATAGAATCAACACATAATCTAGCAGTTCTACATCTGGGAATCTATCCTTAAGTGTTAAGAGCAGAGTCTCAGAATACCTGTATCTCCATGTTAATAGCAATGGTATTCACAATGGCTGGAAAGCGGAAGTAACCAAGTAACCACCAATGGATGAATGGTTGTTTTCACTTTTCTTATACTGCATACACAGGTCCCATGTTTTCATTCCTTCCTCCTTTCCAATCTGTGTGTATTCTGAGCAATGCCTATGCTGGGTAACATCAGGCCCCAGGTGGACACGAGGCTCCAGGTGAATACCCAGCACCTATGTGGACATCATTGGGTCAACACCAGGCCCAAGGGGACACCAGTCCCCAGGTAAACATAAGGCCCGAGGTTGAAACCCAGGCCCCAGGTGACCCTCAGGTCCAAGGTGGACACAAAACCAAAGGTGTACACCTGGCTCCAGGTTCACACCCAGGCCACATTTGGACACAATGCCACATGTGGACGCCAGGCCCGAGAAAGATATACCAATGCCCCAGGTGGACATCCAGGCTCAAGGGAGACATCAGGCCTCTGACACGGCAGGCCCAAGGTAAACATCAGATCCCAGGGTCCCAGGTAGATATTAGGTGTCAGCTGGAGAAGAGGTCCCAGGTACATACCCAGTCCGTAGGTAAAAGCAATGACCCAAAGAGAACTCAGGCCCCCAATTGATACCAAGTCCCAGATAAACGTCAAGCTCCTGGGGACACCAAGGTCCCAAGTTAACAACAGGCTCCGGGAAGACACCAGGTCCAATGTGAACACTCAGTCCCCAAGTGAACACTAGGCCTCAGATGGACACCAATATCCAGGTAAATACCTTGTCCCCAGGTGGACACTATACCCCAGGCAGACATCATGGCCCCAAGGAACACCAGGGCACCAGATGACAACAAAACCAAAAGTGACAACCATGTCCCAAGTAAACTCCAGGCCCCAGATACACATCAGGCACCAGGTGGACATCAGGCTTCAGCAGGATCCCCAGGCCTCAGGGGAACACCCAATCTCAAAGTGAACATCAGGCCCTAGGAAGAAAGCCGTCTACAGCTGACCATCAGGGTCCAGGTAGACACTAAGGCCCCAAGAAGAAAAAAGGTTCCAAGTGACTACCCAGTCCCCAGGTGGACACCAGACCCCCAGGAAGACTGACTAGGCTCTAGGTGTACACTAGGCTGCAGGTGCATGAACACCCAGTCTCAAAAGAAGACACATGCCTCAGAGGTATAGCTAGAACCCTTATGGCTATAAGATTGGAGGTGGACACCAGGCCCCAGATGAACTCCAGTCCCCTGGTGAACATCGGGCCCCAGATGAATATCCAGGCCCCAAGTGAAAACCAAAACCCTAGATGTCCAGACATTAGACCTCATGTGGATGTCCAGACATTAGACCCCATGTGGATATCCAGGCCCCGGGAAGTCTTCAGGCCCCAGGTGGACATTTGGTCCCAGGATGACACCAGGTCTCAGGTGAACAGCAGGCCAAGAATCCCAGGTCCCTGGTGAAGAGAAGGCCCATGGTGGACACAAGGCCTCCAGGTAGATACCTAAGACCCTGGTGAGTATCAGGCCCCACAAGGACACCAGGTCTCATGAGTATATGAAAATTCAAATAAACGCTAGGCCTCAAGTTGAAACCAGGTCCAAGGGGGACCCCAGCCCTCCAGTGACAACCAGGCCCCCAACAGGTGACCACCTTTGGCTCCCTCCCTGTCATCTCCCTTTTTCATCTACCCCAAAACTTTTTCCCACTGTCTTTTTACAAAGCCTTCTCTACTGTCCCACTACCACCCCATCCATCTACCCAAAAACTTTTCCCTACCATCATTTACCCCTCTCCCTAGCCACCCTCTTTTCTCCCCTTCCAGCTCCCATCACCCTCTTTTTCTCCTCCATCTACCCAAAAACATTTCCCCCAATCTTTTCCCAAAGGCTTCTCCCCACTCCTGCTATTCACCACCCCTTTCCCCTCCATCTACCCAAAAACTGTTCTGTCATCCTCCCCCCCGTCCTGGCCACCCTCTTTCCTCTCTCCGTCTTTCCGAAAACATTTTCCCACCATCTTTACACAAAGCCTTCTCCCCACTCCTGCTCACTACCCTCTTTCCCCCTCCATCTACCCCCCAAATTTTTCCTCACCATGTCTCCACTCCTTCCCCCATTTCTGCTCGCCATCTTCTTTTCCCTATCCTGCTTGCCACCCTCTTATCCCCCCTCCATCTACCCCAAAACTATTTCCCCCGCTCCTACCACTCCAGCCCCGCTGCAGTCTTCCTGTCTACCACCAACCACAGCAAAAAAGGCTCCGTATGCAGGCTCCAGCATCCAGCACGTGGCGGGCAGCTTCCCTTTCTCCTGGTCCTCTACGCCAGGAACAGAGAATCCGGTCAGAAAGACACAAAAGTGCATGGAATGGCGCGACGCACCTCAGCATTATTTATATACAGAGGTTATGCAAATAAGGTTTCTGGACTACATGTTCTGATTGGATCAGAGAAACCTTCTAGACATACTCTGATTGGACTTTATTAGTATGTTATGATTGGATGAGAGCAAGTCTTAGGACAACCAATTAGATCATGAAAATAAAGTCCAATCACAGTAGGCATAGTGGTTTTTCTCTCATCCAATGAGTACTCGGAGTCCAGGAACCTCAGTATGTAAGGTATGCTGAGGCGGAGTCGTGTCATTCCCGGCTATTGCATGTCTGCGGAAGTAACTGCTCTGTGCCCGGTTTCAGAAAACGCAAAGAGGGAGCCACCTGCCTCTTGCTGGAGGCTCTCGTTGGAGTTGGTCGTCATCGAGACTGGAGTTCGGCCAGAGTTGTAGAAATGCTGCAGGGTAGGTGTGCAATCCGGGCAGCCATGGAGTGCAGGTTGGGTGTGCTGTTGGGGCTGCACTGCCGGTGATTGCATTGTCCTGGCTACAGTGCCCCGCAACACAGGGGTGCTATTCAGGGTTGCATTTCAGGCAGTGGAGCGGGTTGGCTGCGTTTTGGGGGCTACGCTGACCGCGGTATGGAAGGGGGTGGGTTGCGTCTGCTGTTGTGCACTGCCAGCGGCAGGCGGATGAGTTGGGTGAACTCTCCAGGCTTCAGTACTGGTTGGCAGGGAAGAGGGGGTCATGCTGTCATGTGCTGCACTGCCTGTGAAGAGGGAGGTGCGCTATTCGGGGCTTCACTGCCTGCCCAGGGGAGAGGGCGGTTGGAGGCAGGTGCTGCAATGCTCATGGCAGGGATAGGTCACGGTGCCATTGGGGGCTGCACTGCTGGCAGCGGTGGGCAGCAGAGGTGGCAGCGAACAGCGTGGCCTCTAAAGAAAGGGCTGTTCTCTTCCTGGACTCCAGACTCTAGAGGGCGACCTCCTCTTGCTGTGGTAGAGCCTGGCAGTCGCACAGCGTTTTCTCGGGAATCCGGAACACAGCAGGGTCCCTACACCTGCCTTGGTTCCCAGGTGAGCCCTCCTTCTCACTCTGTGTTGCGGAGACCACCTGGAACCCCCAAGCATGGAGTAGCAGACGCCATGGGGAGACAGGGCCTGAGGCGTTGGGTATGGGCACTTGGGTGGAGAGGGTTGGCTGGGTCTGAGTTTCTGCTGCTCATGCTCCCTGAGGAGGGCAGCCCCGGTGCCCAGGGGTTCCTGTGGAGTGGGGAGCTGGGTACTGTGGTGTTCCCAGGCCCCAGTTCTTGCCCAGTTTGGGCCAAAAAGAGAGGCTGGACTTTGAAGGATGGGTGTGAGGGCCTTCACTGAAAAGGGCCTCTGCCAGCCAGTGGCCAGCATGACAAGGTGAGGCTCTAAGTTATCACCCCCTGCATCCTGTTCTAGGTTTTTCTGGTTTTGCCTGCCCAGCTGCTCCATTTCTGACTGGAGGAGGAGGCGGAGCCACATGTGGTATGCTGGAGCCTGCACATGGCATGGCTCTGTGGCTTGCCCTGCTGCAGTTGGTGGGGGTCATGGAGACTGCAACTCTACAGTGGTAGGAGGTAGGATGGCGGCCGCAGCAGCCAGATGGTAGGAGCCTTATAAGGTGGATTGATGCATTGAGGGCGACAGCACAGGTTGGTGTATTGGCGTTGGTGCTATTGGTGACAGCAGCAGTAAGTCTGGGGGTGAGGAAGGGGGCAGTAGGAGCGCTGCTGGGTCTGCCCGCCCCGGGATGGGTAGGAAGCTGCAGGTGCTGCACTTCAGTCCTTGGTGGCAGTGGTGGAGGCGCCCGTGGCCAAGGGAAGAGTCCTTCCCGTTCTCCTGAAGGGGGTCCTCCTGCTGGTGCCTGAGCCAGGTGTGAGTGGCGTTATTGTCTCATTCTTAACAAAATTTAGGGGGTGACTATTTGTATATCTTTTTGCTTGCTTTTTTGTTGCGGTAGACTTGGACTTTTTCAAACTTCATGAATTGGGTAGGGGGGAAAAAGGCCAGGAGCAATGCACAGATTCAGACCACTACTTCTCTGAATATAGTTATAGATAATAAAATATTTATCTTTGTGGGGATCTGGGACTTACGAAGCTAGTATTAAAAGCTTTATGTTAAAAATGAGAACTTAGGTTTCAGGGGGTCTGTGGACATCCTAGGCTTCTTCAGCGTAGGGTCTCTTTAGCCAGCTTGTTTAAATGTGCTGAAACAGAGAGGATGCGTTTTTTTTTTTTGGCTTTACTAAATGTTGGCTAGTTTCACTCAGGGTTTTATTGGAATAAGGTCTGGTGAAATATAAAAACTTTGACGATGAATCATCCTGTTAATGAGATAATAAAGTTGGCCCAGGTAGCCCATTGCATCCTTTTTGGTCTCCTTTCCTTTAAGTTCAGGTTTTTGAAAAAGCATAAACAAACTTGAGCTAATGTTTTGGTTTGGTCTTGAAGCTGTCCTCATAAAAGCTCTAGAAGTCACTGGAAACATGAGGCATGTAGTAGGTGTCCATTAGATTTGTTCATGCCATGAGCTGTCTAGAAGTAGAATATGTTCAACTTTTGTAAAGGGTGGGCCTGCCTCTTGGTAGTTAGGAAAACTTGCTCTAGTGGTTGTTCTATTTTTCACTAGAAGCTCTGCACACAGAGCACTATCTCTTGGCTTGATAGCTGTGTCTCTTGATAGTTTCCAAACAACTTAAAATCCAGGCTGTGTTAACTGCTGACAGGGTGGAGGAAAGACCTTTTACTAGGCCAAGACAACAGCTATCACTGTTTACATTCTCCGTAAAGTTTTAATTATGAAAAAGGATTTGTGAGGCTGGTCAAGCGGTAGCCAATCCGGTGTGCTTTGCAAGACTTTCTGTGTGGTTCTGTCATAAAGAGAACTAAATCAGGATGGGATATGGGCCCAGGACTCCATAGGCCTGTTGTTCAAGCCAGCCTGGCAAACTGGGCAATGGCAAACTTTGCTGCAGCCCCCCATCATGTTTAACATCCGTGGGAGTGTAACCTGTAACCAGGTAGCAATACTCTGTTTTAGGCTCTGACATTTTACAGAGGTGGCCTGGGTTTAATCCCAGCTTAGGGAACGAGTACTTCTGGTTTGAAACCTGTGTGACCTTTGCCATTTGTTGATTCTCTTCCCTTCCATGAACCACCTTGAAGTTGCCTTTCTCTGAGCATCTGGGAGGTTACTTTTGGTACTCAAAAGCCAGAAATACTGGCCACTTGGTGTGACTGAAGTTGGGTATTAAAGGATTTAAAAGGATTTTCTTAGAGTTCTCAGCTTAATTAAAAGTGAATATCAAAGTTATAGGTATATTTAAAAGGCCATTATGTTTTTCTCTTCTTGGATCTTGTTTTGCTGAAAAACGATTTTTCCTCAGTCAACTGAATTATTTTTATCTATTTTGCCTTTCCACTTTTAATGCATACATGAGGCCCTAAGATAATTTCTCATGGCGTGGGATTCCTTGGGAAAAACAGAAAAGGTGCCATGAATTCCATTGTGAGAGAGACCTCTGTTTTCCTCATTGAGCCCCAGGAATTAGAGGAGGATGAATCTCTCTCAAGTATCTGTTCTTGTCTTCCAGCTATACCTGTTTATTAGGTTTTAGAAATTGTATGTTTTCCTAGTCTTACTCTTAGCAGGCTCCACCTAGGGGCCCATAATCCAACTGGGAGATTGGCAAATGAAAAATCTTACAGCTACTGGATCTTCTGTCTGTCTGTGCAGTTAGATATGTGTTGTGTGTGTGATGTCTGTGAAAAGCTCTAATTGACTCAAAGAAGGATAAGCACTAGAATCAAATATTTTTAAAGGGAAAAGAAGTTACAGTACTTTTTGGTTCACGTGACTTTTATCTTTGAGAAATGAAAACAGACTTAAAGATTATCAGCTGGAGTTAAAGGATTGTTTTGAATTAGATAAGATAAAGCTAAAAGTTTAAACAAGTTATGGAAGGTTTCTAAAAAATTAATCTTGCAAAAGAAATTATGTGTGAATATTGACTAAATTCAAAACGGATGTAAAAGGTTTTTTATTTTAGTTTTTTTTTTTGAGACAGTCTCTCTCAGCTCATTGCAACCTCTGCCTCTTGGGTTTCAAGCAATTCTCTTGCTTCAGCGTTCCTAGTAGCTGAGATTAGAGGCATATGCTACCAGAGCAGAAAGCGGACCCTTTCCAGGCAGTAAGTCTGCCGACACCTAGATCTTGGACTTCCCAGTCTCCACAACTGTGAGAAATAAATTTCCGTTGTTTACAAGCCACCAGTTTATGGTATTAGAGCATCCTGAGTGAATTGAGAGGGTTGAGATTTCTGGATTAGTAAATACTATGATATGTTAATGTCATCTATTAGGCAGTTGGACTTAATTCAAGTTTGGATAATTGAGAGTAATAACATTCAAACCAAATACTGTAATAATGCACATTTTATATAAAATATTAGGGCTTTGGCAAGCAAGAGGATAGCTTGAGGCCAGGAGTTCAACAAGAGTCTGGGCAACATAACAAGACTTCCATCTCTGCAAAAATAGAGAAAGAAATTATCCAGGTATGGTGGTCCCTGTAGTCCCAGCTCTTTAGGAGGCTGATGCAAGATGATCTCTTGAGCCCAGGAGTTGGCGACTGCAGTGAGCTATGATACCATCTCTGCACTTCAGCCTGGGAGATAGAGCAAAATCTTTTCTCAAAAAAGATTGTATAGACATAATTTTATTATTAACTAAACACAAATAACTAAATATAAATATGTGTATTTAACAAAACATAAATACATGTAAATGTTTAACACGCAATTTTAAAATTGTAGTTAATAAATTCTTATAACAAACCACAATGGTTAGATAGATTTTTTTTTAAACATACAATTCCTCAAGACTAAACTATATGCCTTTGTCACCAAAGTGAGCTATTACCCAGATTTGCTTTCTGTTTGTTTTCCTTTATATTTTGATTTACCTATGGTTCCCAATAAGGTATCCAACCTAGTAAGTCACTAGATTTTTAATCAACACCTTGTATGTTCCAATCCTTGTCTCCATCACCAGGAACACAAAATTGAAAAGACTCCTCAAGGCATTTGGTCCAATCAGATGCCCCCCATCTAAGTGATTTTGAGCGTCCCTTCTTCCCCTTTGGCCTTTGGCAATGTCTGTAGATGTTTTTGGTTGTCACAAAGGGGGATTAAGAAACGTGTGGTTCTGGCATCTGGTAGTTGGGAGTCCACGGATGCTGCTAAAGATTCAGCTGTGCACAGGACAACCCCCTAGCAAAGAATGATCTGGCTCCAAGTGCACTTAGTGCTGAGATTGAGAAACCTTGCCTAAAGTGAATGATGAACACAGAAACAGATGAGTCTGAAACAAGGGGATAAATACAGTATAAAATGAATCATCTTTTAGTAGACTACCGTTAGTACTATTAGTAGCCCTTCGGTTAGGAGAACAGTGGTTTTTGAAGACACATTCCTTCTTCTATAGGTCCATAGCTACATAAGACACTTTTATCACGGAAAATTTTAAGCATACACACATGAAAGAGTTAATAAACTCATTTTCCACCTTCAGCCATTATCAACTTCATCAATTTTGTTTCATATGTACTCACCCCTCCCACTTTGGTAGATTATTCTAAAACAAACCTGCACGACGTATACTTTAATTTGTAACTACTTGACATGTATACCTCAGTGATATTCTTTTTAAAAATAGAACTCTTTATTTTTAATCACATCAAAGACATCCTTAATCCATGGATACATTCTTTACATGACAAAAGCAAGAACAAAAACAAAAGACTCCATAGGTTTTTTTTTTTGTTAATGTTATTAAGAGACCTGTCCCACCTCCTTCCCTGTATCTTTATCTTACAAGCAGGCGAGGTGTTGAAATCTTTCCTGTTTTGTGTGCCTTGTTGATTGGTACCACATCTGTCAGAGGACTCCATTCTGACTGATGCTAACCTGGGCAGTGATTTAACCTGCACACTTTGCTGATTTTTGTATGATAGTGGTTTGGACCGCTGTGTGTTTCAGTGTGCCTGGGAGTTTCGTTTGACTTGGCCCCAGCCTGTGTACTGACTGCTCACTCCGCACCCTGACACCAGGTTTTCCCTAGATACTTGATTTTTTTTTTTAACTGGCAGGTCCCAGGTGATAGTTTTCTCTGTCTTTGTACCAGTTTATTCTAACAGCAGACTTTTTCTTTGGAGACTGACATTCCTTACAGAATGGTGGCAACTGCTCTGATAGCTTTTTAAGGGCCAACTTTGACCACCATTTTAGAAAGCAATTTTGTTCTTGAAAGATGGTCAGAAACAAATGGGGGAAAAAAAACAAGCAGCAAACAAATGTATTAAGAATATGCAAACAACTCGGAACAAAACTGAATCCAAAAGTTTATTTACCAGGATCAGAAACACAAACTGTCTTTTTACTAGAAATGAATTCCCAGGATAGATAAAAAGTCTTTTATAGTTCCAGACAAGATACGAGAGCCTTTACTACAGTGACTTAACCCACTCAGGTCCTAAATAAGCTCAACAGACAGCTGCTATCGAAGGAAGGAAGCTTAACCTGAGAGTTGATGTACCTGGAGAGGAAAAAAAAGGCAATGACTGGAAGTGTAGTGCACGAAAAGCTCAATTGTGTGTACCTCACCTTGTCCCAAAGGTTGCTAGTCTCTTCCAAAGGTAACCTTGTTCCATCCCACTTCTGACCACAGAGTATGTCAACCTAAAAAAAAGACATTTGAGAAACTTATTTCTAGATGTGTTGAATTTATTCAGGAATGGAAAAAATGGTTTATCAGATATTCATGGAATGGCAAACCAGAAGTGCTTCTGCTGAAAGGAAATGGGAAGCTTTTGTTAGCAAAAAGAGAGGTTTATGTAACCTGCTTAGGAGCAGAGTTAATTGGTTCTAAAGACTTAAGTCAGAGTTGTCATCAGTTTATTGGTGGAGATGCTGTTATTGGGCAAGTTTTCCTTAGAGTATCTTTTTGGGATTGCTACAGCCCTAAAGAGTGTCTAGTGATGTACTTTTTTAGTTAAATGAGATATATTATTACAGTTAATTAATTTTACCTACTTCCTTTTACTTTTCTTTCCTTTTTTTCCGACAGAAACTTGCTCTGTTTCCCAGGCTGGAGAGCAGTGGCACAATCTCAGCTCATTGCAACCTCTGCCTCCTGAGTTCAAGTGATTCTCCTGCCTCAGCCTCCTGAGTAGCTAGGATTACAGGCATATACCACCACACTCAGCTAATTTTTGTGTTTTTAGTAGAGACATGGTTTCACCATGTTAGCCAGGTTGGTCTTGAACTCCTGACCTTAAATGATCTGCCCACCTTGGCCTCCTAAAGTATTGGGATTATAGGCATGAGCCACTGTGCCCAGCCTAGTGATACACTTCCTACAGTCATTTGTCATTTGAAACAAATTGGAAAGGTGAAAAAGCTTGGTAAGTGGGTGCCTCAGGAGCTGACTGAAAATTTTTTTTTAAATCGCCATTTTGAAGTGTCGTTCTTTTTCATTCTATCCAACAATGATGAATCATTTCTTGATTGGATCGAGACATGGCGAAAAGTGAATTTTATACGACAACCAGTGATGAGCAGCTCAGTGGTTGGACCAAGAAGACGCTCCAAGGCACTTCCCAAAGCGAAACTTGCACCAAAAAAGGTCATGGTCACTGTTGGATGATTATCTGCTGGTCTGATCCACTGCAGCTTTCTGAATCCCAGTGAAACCATTACATCTGAGAAGTATTCTCACCAAATTGATGAGATGCACTGAGAACTCCCAGTGCCTGCAGCCAGCATTGGTCAGCAGAAAGAGCCCAATTCTCCTTGACAGCACCTAACCACACATCACACAAATACTTCAAAAGTTGAATGAATTGGGTAACAAAGTTTTGCTTCATCTGCCATATTCACCTGACCTCTTGCCAACTGACTACCACTTCTTCAAGCATCTTGACAGTTTTTTTGCAGGGAAAACACTTTCACAACCAGTAGGATACAGAAAATGCTTTTCAAGAGTTTCTTGAATCCTGAAGCATGAATTTTTACACTACTGGATTAAACAAACTTATTTCTCTTTGACAAAAATGTGTTGGTTTTAATGGTTCCCATTTTGATTAATAAAGATATGTTTGAGTCTAGTTATGATTTAAAATTCACAGTCGAAACCGCAGTTACTTTTGCACCAACCTAGAAATACATGTATATGTGTGAAACATGCCAGATTTGCAAGGGAGGAGATGTGTGACAGATGTGAAGGGATTTCTTGGGAGGTTTTAGGAAGCTTTTGGAAGCAGTTCTTATCTTAGACATGCAAGCATGAGCCCCCTCTTTCGTGCATTGTCAGCCCTGTTTTGTTAGGGTCTGACAAGAGTGATTTCATCCTGGTATGTGCAATTCTCACAGCTTGTATAGATAAAATTTTGCAACTGTGCAAATATTTCTGCAGAGTAAACATCTAGGAATAGAAGAGGTAGTTCAAAAAGTAAACACGTGAAATTCTAATAGCTATTGTCAGCAGCCCTCCTTAGTGCTGGTACTAATTACACTTCTAAAAGCTGTGTGTGATAGGAGCTGTTTTCTCTCAGCCTCCCCAGAAATACTCTGTGTTTTTCAGTTTTCCTACTTGATAAGTGAGCAGTGATTTCTTAGTATTGTTTTAATTTGAATTTGTTATGAGAAAAGTTGAGCATCTTTTCTCATGGTTAAAATGCTGTTAGGTTTTCTTTTTTGTTAACTGTTCTGCTGATTTTTTTTTTTTTGTCTTTTTGTTTTTTTCCTTTTTGTGGAGAACGGGGTCTTGCTATATTGCCCAGGCAGGTCTCGAACTCCTGGGGCTCAACCTGTCCTCCCGATTCTGCCTCCCTAAGAGCTGGGATTACAGGTGTGAGCCACAGTACCCGGCAATTATTTATAGTGTTTTCATCATATAGGCTTAATTTTTTGTTTTGTTTTTGAATCAGGGTCTCATTCTGTTGCCCAGGATGGAGTGTAGTGGCACAATCATTGCTCATTGTAACCGTCTCCCAGGCTCAAGTAAATCCTCCCACCTCAGCCTCTCAAGCAGCTGGGAATATAGGTTTGTGCCACCATGCCCAGCTAATTTTTATATTTTTTGTTTGTAGTTAATGGGGTTTTACCACATTGCCCAGGCTAATCTCGAAATCCTGGGTTCAAGTGTTTTGCCTGTCTCAACCTCTCAAAGTGCTGGGATTATAGATGTGAGCCACTGTTCCCAGCCAACAATTTTTACAGCTTCTGGATTTGTGTTATACTGTTGGCCCTTTGTATCTGTGAGTTCTGCATCCAAACCATGGATTGAAAAGATTCCAAAAAGTCAAACAATAAAAATGCAAATTTTACAACAATACATTAAAAACTATTTCATAGTTCTTATACCGTATGAGGTATTAGAAGCAATGCTTATAAGTATAGAGATAATTCAATGTTCACAGGTTAATGCAAATACTGCACCATTTTATATAAGAGATTTGAGCATCCATGGACTTCAGTATCTGAGGGGAGGTCCTGGAACAACTGCCATGTACACAGGGGAGCTACTGTAATCAGGAAGGCTTTTCCCATTTTCTGTGGTTTGAATGTATCTCTCAAAGTTCATATGTTGGAAACTTAATCCCCAGTGCAAGTGTTGAGAGGTGGGACTTCCAAGAGGGTGATCAGGTCATGATGACGCTGCCCTCATGAATGGATTAATGTTGTTATTTTGGGATGAGTTCCTGACAAATAGATGAGTTCAGCCTCCTTCTCCCTTACTCTCATGTGTGCTCTTGTGCCCTTCTGTCCTTCCACCATGGGATGGTAGAATAAAAAGTTCCTAGCCAGATACCACCCGGTGAACTTGGATTTCCAAGCCTCCAGAAGCATGAGCCAAATACATTTGTTTGTTATCACTCAGTCTCAACTGGGTGCAGTGGCTCATGCCTGTAATCCCAACACTTTGGGAGGCCGAGGCGGATGAATCACCTCAGGTCAGGGGTTTGAGACCAGCTTGACCAATATGGTGAAACCATTGTCTCTACTAAAAATACAAAAAGTAGCTCAGTGTGGTGGTGTGCTCCTGCAGCCCCAGCTACTCAGGAGAATTGCTTGTACCTGTATGGAGGGGAGATTACAGTGAGTTGAGATGGTGCCACTGCACTCTAGCCATCTCTACAAAAAATACAAAAATAGCCAGGTGTCCGTATGTGCCTGTAATCCCAACTACTTGGGAGGCTGAGGCAGGAGAATCGCTTGAGCCCAGAGGGTCGAGGTTCAGTGAGCCAAGAGAGCGCCACTTCACTGCAGCCTGGGCAACAGAGAAGATCTGTCTCTATAAAAAGAAAAGGTAAATGTGTTTTTCATGAGATAAACTTCCAACCTGTTTTTCAAAATAGATATTAATTACAGTGTAATTAACCGCTAGCAATAGATGAGTATTCCAGTCGTTTCACCTCCCAGCACTTTGGGAGGCCCAGGAGGGTGGATTGCTTGAGTTCAAGAGTTGCCTAGCCTGAGCAACATAGAGAGACCTCATCTCTATTCTTTAAAAAATTAAAAAGAAAAAAGTTACTTATCGGCCATTTACATATATTCTCTTGTGAAGTGTTTGTTTAAATCTTTTGTCCATTTTGTTATTGAGTTGTCTTATTGGTAAATTGTAGTAGTTCTTTATGTATGAAAGACACAGGGCCTTTGTTGGATACATGTTTTGCAAACTTCTGTTTTATTTTCTGAAGAGGGTCCTTCGAAGAGCAAAAGATTTTTATTTTAATAAAATTTATTTTATTAATATTTTTGTTTCATGCCTCTGTCTTAATAAGAAACTTTTTCCTAACCTAATATCACAAATATATCCTGCTATTTTTTTCTGACTTACGATTTTAGCATTTATGTCTGTGTCCCATTTTGAGTTAATTTAAGATAAGGGTTCAGACTCATTTTTTTCTCCCCAGTATGGAAATTATTCCAGTGCTGTTTGTTGAAAACAGTATCCTGTCATTCACTTAATTACTGTGGTGCTTTAATAAAGATCAGTTAACTATGCATATGTGGGTCTACCTCTGGACTGTTCTCTGTCCCACTGGTTGGTGTGCCTTTCCTTATCCCCATACCACACTCTCTTGATTACTGCAGTGTTATAGTCTGTCTTCATATTGGGTAGTTTAAGTCCTCTAACTTTGTCTTTTTAAAACTGTTCAGCTGTTTTAGATCCTTTTTATTTTCATGACAAGTTTGTAATTACTTGTCAATTTTTAAAAGAATGTGCTTGCTGTAATATTTATTAAAATTGCCATCAACTCTTTTATAGATTCAGGAAAAATGAATATCTTAATGTTATTGAGTCTTCCAGTTCATAAACAGGACCCATCTCTCCATTTATTTAGGCCTTTTAAAATGTCTTTTATTCCTGGATATGTTTATGCTATTTTGAATGTATTTGGGTTTTTTCTTTTTTATTTCTGTATGCTTTTGGGGAACAGATGGTGTTTGGTTACATGAATAAGTTCTTTAGTGGTGATTTCTGAGATTGTGGTGCACCTATCATCTGAGCAGTCTACACTGTACCAAATTCGTCTTTTATCGCTCGCCACCCACCCTTTCCTTCCAAGCCCCTAAAGTCCATTCTTAAGACTTTGTATCCTCATAGCTTAGCTTCCACTTATGAGTGAGTACATATCCTTTTGTTTTTCAAATGTCATTTTTTTCCATTTTTTGTTATTGATACACAGAAATAAAAATAATTCAAGACCAGTCTGGGCAACATAAGGAGACCCTATATCTACAAAAAAAATTTTTTTTAATTAGCTAGGCTTGGTGGTGTGTGCCTGTGGTCTTAGTTACTGAGGAGGCTGAGTGAGAGGATCACTTGAGCCCAGGAAGTCAAGCCTGCTGTAGCCTTGGTCGGGCCACTGCAGTCCAGCCTGAGTAACAGAGTGAGACACTGTCTCATGACGATCATAATAATTTGTTATAGGACAATCTAGGTCTTTTGGGTTTTTTTAAGTCTGTTTTTATAATTTCTGTTTTTCAAAGAATCTTTTTTATCTAAATCATTGAATTTTTTGGCATAGTGTTGCTCACAATATTTCCTTATTTTTCTTCTGATAACTAATTTCTGATATTGACAATTTTTTCTTCTTTTTCTTTTTTTTTTTTTTCCAAGACAGAGTACAGTACAGTAGCACGCTGTGCTCACTGAATCTGTCACCCAGGTTGGAGTGCAGTGGTGCAATCTTAGCTCACTGCATCCTTCACCTCCTGGGTTCAAGAGATTCTCTTGTCTCAGTCTCTGGAGTAGCTGGGATTATAGGCATGCATCACCATGCCCAGCTACTCTTTTTATTTTTAGTAGAGATGGGGTTTACCATATTGACCAGGCTGGTATTGAACTCTTGACTTCAAGTAATCCACCCACCTTGGCCTCCCAAAGCGCTAGGATTACAGGCATGAGCCATGGCGCACCCAGCCTGTGGCCATTCATTTTTAACTGACCAGTTTTGCTAAAGGTTTATCAATTTTGTTGGGATTTTCAGAGAGCAAGCTTTTAATTACATTTACTTTTCTTTTTAGTGTGTCCATTTTCTATTTCATTGATTTCCACTGTTATCTTTATTATTTCTTTCCTTCTACTTACTTTGGGTTTGTGTCATTATGAGATGATCTTGTTTATCTCTAGCACCACTTGTTAAAATCTGTGTTTATGATATTGCAGCTACTCCAGCTTTCTCATGCTTTCTTATGTTTCCATGGTATGTCTTTTTTCATTCTTTCAACTCATTTGTACTTTTGCATTTAAGCAGCATCTTTTGTAGACAGCACATAGGTAGGTCTTTTTTTTTTAAAATACATTTCACCAGCTAATCCCTGTCTTTTGGAGTATTTCATCTATTTATATATGTTTTTTAGAGATGGAGTCTCTGTCACCCAGGCTGGAGTGCTGTTGACATGTCTCCTTACATTCTCTATTTGTCTTTTTTTGTTTTGTTTTTTTTTTTCGTTTTTAGACAGGTCTCATTTTGTAGAGTAGTGCAGTGGCACAGTCACAGCACACTGCAACCTCAACCACCTGGGCTCAAGCAGTCTTCTTACCTCAGCCGCTGGAGTAGCTGGAGTACAAGCATGCCGACTAATTTAAAAAAATTTTTTTTTTTTTTTTTAGAGATGAGGTCTTGCTGTGTTGCCCAGACTGCTCTTGAACTCCTGGCTTCAAGTGATCCTTTCACCTTGGCCTCCAAAATGCTGGGATTATAGGCATGAAGCACCATGCCCAGCCCTCTATTTTTCAATTGAATACTTTCTGTTGGTCTATCTTCAAGTTCACTCATGAATTCTGTCACCTACATTATGCTACTCAGCCCACACAGTAATCTTTTATACACTGTTGTTTTCTAATTTCCATTGTTTCTAATAGTTTAACAGTTGATTCTCTTATCATTTTCCATTAGTGATAGTTTTACCATCTGCTGTGGTTTGGATGTATCTGCCAAAGTTTGTGTGTTGGAAACTTGATCTCCACTCTAGTCAGGATTTTTTTGAAATTTCCCTTTGCTCAGTTCAGGCATTAAGAAGTGTGTGTGTGTGTGTGTGTGCGTGTGTGTGTGTGTGTACACGTCCGTCCTTGCATGAGGGTGAAGGAAGAAATTGAACAGGAATCCTATATTTGCTTGTCTGTGTCCCACTTTTTCCCTCATCTTATTCGCCTCCTAGTGATCCCTCCCAGACCTAATACCTCAATTCTTTTCCGCTGATCCTCAAGCTTGGAAGATTCAAAGGAGATGGGAAATGACCCCGCCTTCTTATGAATATGCAACATAAGGGGCTGGGAGAAGCAGGAGGAAAAGCTCTGCAAAAAAATCCACCCCAGGTCTGCCTGCCTGGGCTCAGCCTGGGGCGCCCCCATCCTCCCCACCTCCTTTCAAGAGCAGCAAACAATAGCACAACCCCAGCTCTGGAAGCCGAGCTGGCTGCCGAGGGTGACGCGGAACTGCTGATCTCCAAGGAAACGCGGCATCCGGACAGCTCTCCAGAGCGGGTCTGAGCTCTGCTGGGCCGGGAGCCGGAGACGGATTCGCAGCAGTCCCGGACCCAGAGGCTGGGAGGTCCTGCCCTGGCGCAGCAAAGGAGGAGGGCGCAGGGCACGGGGGCGGCACGCACCCGTTTCCCATCGGCTTCTCCGTGACCTTCCCTCCCACTTTCAACTCGGAGCGGGATGCTGGGATCCCTTCAAGGACCCTCTGCAGACGTGGGAGGGATGCTGAGACAGGCAAGTGGGGTTTCTCTAGCTATTGTCACCCCGCCGCACTTTTGTAGTAGAACCAAGCAGATCTTGGTCGAAACCCTGTGTTCGTGGAACCTTTTTTTTTCCTGAAATGGGGGTGAAAGTTGATGATCAACGGCTCCGGCTAGGAGAAGGTGACAGAGTGGTAGGTGCGGTAAGGTTAGAAAAGTTGCCGTGGCCCCAGCAGGGCGCCCTGGGCAGTGCTAGCACAAAGCCAGCTCTGCGGCGGTCGCGTTGCCATGGCTGCGGGGCGGTGCTGAACAGCGGTGCGGCGGCGTTGCCGGGCGACGGAGAGGCCGCGGGGGAAGCCGGGAATCTCCCCGCGCCTGGTGTCCCGTCGGGAGCTCCCAGTCTGATACTCCGCGGACACCTGTGTCTCTCGATTTCGATTCACAGTCCTCTGGCAGCCACTGTCACTTGGTTAGGGAGTCAGGTGTCTGCGCTATCACCTACTTAATGCTTTAATGCTCTGCTTTCGAAAAATACTTGTGGTGTGATGGAAGACATGAAAAAGTATACTCCTACTTAAAGTTTTTTTTGTTTTTGTTTTTGTTTTGGAGACAGAGTACAGTTCAGTAGCGCACTGTGCTCACTGCAACCTCAGCCTCCCGGATTCAAGCGATTCCCTGGCCTCAGCCTCCCGAGTAGCTGGAATTTCAGGCCCCCGCCATTACGTCCGGCTAATTTTTGTATGTTCAATAGAGACGGGGTTTCACCATGTTGGCCAGGCTGGTCTCAAACTCCTGACCTCAGATGATCCGCCCGCTTAGGCCTCCTAAAGTGCTGAGATTACAACCATGAGCCACCGCTCCCAGCCAACCAAGTTTTTTAAACAATATATTCTGTTTCCTCGTTTTTAAGGTAGCGTCTATTGACAGGGGTTCCTTAATTATTATTTAAAAAATGAAGTACAGAACCAGGTTTGTATCTACATCTACAAAACAAATTGTTCCTTTCAAATATACTAACCAAAAATATTTGCAAAAGAAAAATATATAAAACAGGTAGCAGTACTACAAATTAGGCGCAGTACTAAAAATGCAGACAGTTCTACTGTTGGATCTTAAAATGCTTTAGAAAGATGTGACTTTCACAAAGGACTAGAGAATCAGCCTTATTTTATTTATATGGGTATTTTCTTACATGTAGATGTGCCAGGGAACTTTGTCTTACTATGTCAAAGATTACTTGTTTTAGCCGTACACTACAGGAAAAAAAAATGGCAAGGAGTTTGACCTTTTTCAGAGCAGTTTTTTGTAGCTACAGTAGTACTTCCATTTTACAAATTATCTGTTATTAGTTTACTCAGATAATTCATTCATCAAACATTTATTGAGGCTTTACTATGTGTTATGTACAGTGCTAGACTTGAGAGCAGAAAAGTAAGTGGTGAGAGGAACAAATAAAGTTGAATTAGAAAAATTCACAGTTTAGGGAGCTGGAAATGCTAGGAAGCAGTTGTAAACCACGATGATACATTCTCATCCTGAAATGCCACCAGGACAGCCCCTGCTACTGGCCTGGAGCTGAGCTTAGAGCTTCCTTTGAGTTGTGGGTTTTGCTCTTTCAAGGCAGGCATTATTGGACCCATTTAAAACAGGAGGAGGCCGGCACTCAGAAGTGCAGTGATGAGCCCCATGTCTCACAGCCAGTCAGGCTCAAGATACAAAAGCAACTGCTATGACATGCACTTTTCCACTCTTTGATCATTAAGTCGTGACTACCTAAATGACCATATTTTAATCACTCATAATGGTATGTGTGAATTTCTTAAAAACAGTAACTATAGTGCAATTTTCCTTTCCATCAGTTGTTTCTAAAATCACATATTTCTAAAATCAGACAGAAATTGTATTCTGAAGACGATGTGTTTTTCCAACTGGAATGTTGCCATTGTCAATATTTTTTCAAGGGGTTCCTGGGAAGTAAATGAGACAATTAAAATATGGTTATTCATGATTTTAAAACATTTAAAGGCATTTGTGTTTTAAAGTACTGTAATAAATCACTGTAGGAGTAGATTTGTTTAAAGCAAAATACACTAGTTATTTTAAGTTTTTATTAACTTTTTAAATGGCTGATTTCTTAGTTTCCACTTGCAGCCGCATTAGAGTAGTCAGAGGAAAAATTTCTATCTGGAAGGTTGTCCTAGAAAGTTCAGGTATGGACCTGGCTGGTCCTGCATGGAGACTTAGCTGTGCATTTTCCACTGCAGCCTGGAAAGCCTCTTTGAACTAATTTTATAACTGATTTTACTGTTAAAATTATTTTTTGAAATACATTGCAGAACTCCTGAAGGCAAGAACCAGATCTTTTGTGTCTTTAGAATTCTCTTTCTAATACCAAATACTTCTTCATAAAAACTGGCAGAAAAAAAAAATAGACTTCACTGGGCTGATGAAAACTAGAATAGAAATAATACTTTTATATATACTATTCTGAGTCACAGAAGTTTTATTTGCTGACTTTTGTTTTGATTAAACTACACTGTGAAATGCTAGGAAGTACCTATTTCATAGGTAGAAAAACTGAATTGTGTTGATTAGCATATGAAGTATTTTCCAATGCATTATCTTCATTGAGCCTTACAACAACATTCAAGAATACACATCACCATTTTTTAAAATATGTGAGGAGACAGAAGCTCAGAGAAGTTGAGTGAATCAGGGTCACCCAGAAAGGAAGAGGTACATCTTCTGATCATGTTACATGGTTTTTATTCTGCCATTGCAAACCAGATGCACTTGTGAGCTTTGGGAGGCTGGGTCTCTCACCAGCCCTGGGGTGCTCAGTGCAAGATGCCTTCTCTCCCTCTCACTTCCCCAAGGTGGCTCCTCTGTCTGGGAAGATGAGAGAAACGCTTTTAAAAGAGAACGAGGCAGGGCAAGTGGAAGGAGCTGGAGAGGGGCTCCCTGGAGCAAAAGGAAGTAAGGGTGAGAAAGAAGACTCAAGTGAAGTTGATCAAAAACCAGCCACTGTTGAAAAATAGGAGTGACGGGATGAGAGAGAGCGTCTTTGTTCCAGCTGCCATCACAAAATTCCACAGCCTGGGGATTTAAACAAAAGACTTTGATTGTGTCCTGGTGCTGGGTGCTGGGAATCTCACATCAAGGAGTCTACAGGGATGGTTTCTTCTGAGACCTTGCTCCTTGGCTCAAAAACAGCTGCCTTTTTACTGCTAGCCTCACAGGGTCATCCCTCTGTATTATCTGTGTCCTGATCTCTGCTTGTAAGGACACCAGTCATATTGGATTAGAGCCCACCCATATGACCTCATTATACCTTAATTACAGCTATGAAGGCCCTCTCTCCAAATACAGTCCCATTCTGAGGTACTGGGGTCAGGACTTCAGGTGAATTTTGAGTCGGTAGCAGAGAATTGAAAAGGTGACACTGACCCATGACTTTGAAGATGAGACCTGGTGACCTGTTTCAATTGCTTTGTTATTCTCATTAGTGTTCTCTCATAGCACAAATAAATGGTTGAACAAATAGTGGCCATTTATTTTTACATTAGTATATTCTGTTGGTTGATTTTTTAAAATTTCAGAACTGAATTCTTTATTTAGCTTGCTTCATAATCTATTCTCACTCTCATCTCTGCAGGGCCAGCTTCAAACCTTGTCAGGCTCTGACAAGGGAAGATGAACCCTAGTTCTAGCTAGAGGTGACCTGTCTGTCTGCATTTTTTTGAGCTGTGGAGTGTTCAGAGTCATATTCGCTGCCTGTGCAGCACCACAGGCCTGATGAAAATGAAATGGCAGCATCGTGCAGATGGCGAACCCTAGGTCTTGGCCATGAAGGTAAGTTAGGACAACCTTCCACCTGCATGGCATTCTCCATGCTTATTTCTAACAAAATACCTGTGGCAGAGTATTTCAGACTGTTTGTGAAGGGCAGCTGGTAGAATTTGAAAGTTTTCTCTGAGGCATTGAGCAACTAACAAGGGTGTAATTGGAATGTGTGGCAAAGACTCAAGTTGTTAAAATATTTGGTCATAAAATAACAGGGTCTGGAGCAAAGCCTGCAGGTCTTGTGGTCAGTACCTTGCCCTTGGATGGACTACACAGTACCTGCTTTGTAAAGGTGGAAATCAATACTGTGTTTAAAGTCAGCCAAAGAAGAAGGTTCCGGAGTCTTCTGCCACAGAAGTTTCAGTGTTCACCAGTCATCAGTGTCTCAGAGTACTTGTGTTTGTCTCCTTAACTCCTTCATTACTAAATATTCTGCCTTCAAAGGGAGAGAGAGTAGTTTTCTATTTCATTCATTTAATGTCTTGTCATTTGCTGAAAGAGTTTTAAGAGGCTGCTTCTTGGCCCTTCTCTGTAAGCTGAATAGAAACCATATGCATTATTCTAGGAACTTGTTTCTATCAGGGCCCTGTGCCACCTGCCCTTCCCACCATGAGTGGTGAAGTTTTGGTCTGTGTCCTTCTCGAATTTCCCCTGGTCATTCCTTTTTACTTCTAAGTGTGAGGCCTGGAGGAAATTCTTCAGTATCCCTGCTGAAGAGCAGGGCTCCAATACACCCGCTGGAGCTTTTCCAAGGAATACAGAAAGCATTCAGAATGCACTGCCTGGACAGTATCCAGCAGCTCTCCTTGATAGGTGCTTTTAGAAACAGGTTCTTGTGTAGAACAGCTACTGTTACCTCAGCCAAAAAAGGCTGCCTATTTCTCAGAGCCCTGCATACTTAATTAGAACAGGGGTTGGTGCCAGCACTTGCAGTTTGAAAAGTCAGCTTTGAAAGTGAATGCAAGTCCCTGCAAGGTAGAATGATCTGTTTCTTCTTATTTGAGCCAGACATCTGTCTAACTGGCCAGCTGTGCAAATCATCTGGCACAGATTCTGGAGGTGATTTGGTCTCTTCAGTTGCTGCTTTTTCTTTCTTTCTTTTTTTTTTTTTGAGACTGAGTCTTGCTCTGTCGCTAGGCTGGAGTGCAGTGGCACTATCTTGGCTAACTGCAACTTGTGCCCTCCTTCAAGCGATTCTCCTGCTTCAGCTTCCCAAAGAGCTGGGACCACAGGCACACCACCATGTCCAGCTAATTTTTGTATTTTTAGTAGAGACGGGCTTTCACCGCGTTGGCCAGGATGGTCTCCATCTCCTGACCTCGTGATCCACCTGCCTCGGCCTCCCAAAGTGCTGGGATTGCAGGCATGAGCCACTGCGCCTGGCCCAGTTGCTGCTTTTATAGCACCTTTTAATCAAATGTTCACCTCAGACACACTCTCCTCAAATTATGGAATAGGGCAACCAAACACAGATGTGTAAAGAGTGAGGAAGAATGATTGTTCTGGCTGTTGATAACTTTCCCAGGGATGGGCAAGCATGGGTATAGTGAAATGCCCTTCCTTCCCCTCTGCTGCTGAAGATGGTAATGACACTGAGTGGCTTGGAAGTTCACGCCACTCAAGTATTGATCAGTTACTTCCCGTATACTCAGTGCTGACAGGGGCTCAAGATGTGTCACGACCTTTCTTCCTGAGTAGTTTACGATTTGGCTGAGGGTGAGTGGCCATGCACACAGGGAAGCGTGGGAAAGGCTGTGTCGTGGCGCAGCCACCCAGGAATGCCTGCTGTGCGGGCTCAGCGGCCAGAGGCCCAGATCCTCCCCTGCTGTGGTTTCTTTCCTCCTGCCTATCTCCTGCATGTTCTCATCACCCCAAACCCAATCCAGCTCCCTCCCACTTTGAGCTCAGGGTCTTCCTCCAGTCCTTGAGGATGACTTCAGAAATCCTAACTCTGGATGTGTCTACACCAGGGTGAGTCTGGCTGTAGGGTTTGGAGGCTTATCTTCCTGGAGGAATTTCATCAGGGTCTGAAGGAAATAAAAGAGGAACTGGGCTGAAGGAAAGGAAGAGAGGGCTGTTCTTAGTTTTTCTTCATTATTATTATTATTATTATTATTATTATTATTATTATTATTATTTTTTTGCATTGGCTAATCCTAGGACTTTTCCCTCCAGTCTAGAGGGAAAAATCTCTCATGCTTCTAAGCTGGTTTCAAAATAAATGAGCCTAGAAAGACTTTGTTAATGAAAGGCCTGTTTGCTATTCTTCCATAATGTTTTAAATAATATAATATATATATATATATATATATTTTTTTTTTGGGAGAGGGGAAGAGACAGTCATTTAAAATAAGAGAAATTCTAAGAAACTCAAAAAGAAAGCAAGATTATCCAAAGCACAAACTATTCTCTTTTTTTTTTTAAGAGAAAAAGAAGGGGAAAAAAAGAAAAAGAGGGAAAAAGGAATATTACTTCATTCCTAAAATGGGTTTCAATAATGGCCGATCAATATTTTGAGTGTTTTTTAAAGTGGTTAATGCATATTTTATGTGTTTAAAATGGAGACCTCTATTGTGTTTATTTGTTCTGGCTCTGAGTTCAAGTCCTGGATATCGTTATCAATTTGTTGTCTCGTTGAATCTAAATCTCATTATGTGTCTTATGTATCTGGGTGTTAAGATCTCTTATTGTTACATTAATCCTTTTACCCTTGCATCCTTGTAGCTTTGAAATCTATTTTATTAAGTGTGAGAATTGCAACTCCTGCTTTTTATTTATTTATTTTTGCTCTCCATTTGGTTGGTGAGTATTTTTCCATCCCCTTGTTTTGAGTCTTTGTATATCTTTCGATATATCGTTAGATTTTGTGGATAATGTATATTTTGTGTGTTTAAAATGGAGAGCTCTATTGAGTTTATTTGTTCTGGATCTTAGTTCCAGTCCCGGATATCGTTATCAATTTTCTGTCTCGTTGAATCTAAATCTCATTATGGGTCTTATGTATCTGGGTGTTAAGATCTCTTATTGTTACATTAATCCTTTTACCCTTGCATCCTTGTAGCTTTGAAATCTATTTTATTAAGTGTGAGAATTGCAACTCCTGCTTTTTATTTATTTATTTTTGCTCTCCATTTGGTTGGTACGTTTTTTTTTTTTTCCAACCCTTTATTTTGAGTCTATGTATATCTGGATATACCGTTAGATTTTGTATGTATCTTTTGATTGGGAGATTTGGTCAATTTAAATTTAGGGTTGCTGCCATTTGATATCAACTGGCTATTTTGTCCTTTCGTTGATAAAAATTCTTCTTTATGTTAATGCTCTTTACTTTTTGGTGTATTTTTAGAAAGGGATCTTGGTGAATCTAACGATTATGTGCCTTGGGGTTGGTCTTCTTGAGGAATATCTTTGTGGTGTTCTCTGTATTGCCTGGGGTTGAATAGTGTCCTGCTTTGCCAAATTAGGAAAATTTTCCTGGATAATGTCCTGGAGAGTATTTTCCAGCTTGACTTCATTCTCTCTGTCACATTCAGGTACACCAATCAAGCGTATATTAGGTCTTTTCACATAGTCTCATTGCTTGTAGACTTTGCTCATTCCTTTTTATCCTTTTTTCTCTATTCTTGTCTTGTCGTTTTGTTTCATTAAGTTGGTCTTCGACCTCTGATACCCTTTCTTCTGCTTGATCCATTCGGCTGTTTAAGCTTGTACATGTTTCACTAAGTTCTCATGTTGTATTTTTCAACTCCATAAGTTCATTTGTATTCCTCTCTATATTGTCTATTCTTTTCAGCATTTCATCTAACCTTTTTTTCAAGTTCTTAGTTTCTTTACATTGGGTTAGAACAAGTTCCTTTAACTCCCAGAAGTTTCTTATCATCCACTTTTTAAAGCCTACTTCAGATAATGGAACACAGTCCTTTTCCATCATGGCTTGTTCGGTTGCTGATGAGTCCTTTTCCATCAGGGCTTGTTCTGTTGCTGATGGGTTCTGATTTTGAGTATACTCGGCCTTCTTAGGCTGTTTTTTTCCCTTCATTGTAGATGAACCGGCTTTCTAATTAGGTTTCTGAGTCGACGTCCGACTTATTGATTCCCAGTGCTGGGATCCAAGCAACCCACTGTGGCAGCCTAAATAGCAGCGATAAGACTGATGGTGCTCTTCTGCCCGGGAATCTCTGGTCTGGCTTCCCTCTTGAGTCCGCAACAAGCGGCTCTGACTTCCCGGAGCTCCAAACTCCGGTCAGTAGGGGAAGCAGTCCCGTTGGCTCTGCGTGAAGAGCTGCTGCGCCGAGACGCCGGCAAAACCGCTGCGGCGGCCACAGAGCGCCGCGCTGGCGACACGTGGGGCTCCTCCACTGGGAATCGGCTAATCGGTGAGTGACGAAAATTCGTCTAAAGATGTGGCTTTGTCTCGTTCTCTGAGCTTTCACTGGGAGCTACAATCCTGAGCTGTTAGTGGTCGGCCATCTTGGATCGATCTCTTTTTTCTTCATTATTGATAGTAGTCACAAATCATTGGAAAATCCTAAAAGACTGCCTGAGGGACCACTTCCAGGTCAGAAGGATAAGCAGGCAACATAGGAATATAAGACTGTGTTGAGGGCAGCACCAGGGGAGAGGAGAAAAACACTAGTCACAACCCTAGATGGTGAGTGAAGAGAGAATAGCCAGTGGTCCATGGAGAAGAGACACACAGGGACAAGGAAGCCAACCTGGGTACAAAGTATTCCCTGAATTAGCCCCAAGAGTCCTGATCCTCACCCACGACCTCAGCTCTCCCCTTCATGATATCAGCAGTGATTTGGAAATGAAGGAGTCCCCAGAAGGGAGTGCAGCTGTCGCTCCTTCCATCCTTCTTGGCATTTCATGCTGGAATAATAAATGTAGTTCTGGGGTATTAGGTTTGCAGATGTTCTTAGCATACCATGGTCTCACATATACACCTTAGGTAATTTGGGCTGGCCCAGGGAACTGTTCATCATATTACCTCTTTCTAAGGAAACTAT